TGCCAGTTTATCTGCTTACCTTTTGAACAGGCTCCAGCTATGAACTTTCTTAGCCACTTGATCACTTCTAATCCTTCCAGCAATATTGTACCCTTTTTCACTTCCCTTACCTTCAGGCTTACCTTCCCCTTGATTCTCATCTCTTCGAACAGGAGATTTTTTGCTTCTATCTTCAAGGATCTCCTCCACTGACCTGCCTGCACGAACTCCATCCCCTCCATTTTTCCAGTATCAGATCTTGTCACCAACTCTGATTTCTGCTACTTTCTTTTGATTTTTGCATCTTTCTAAACAGTCCTTTCTTCTCAAAAGGTTGTTTTTCTTCTAACAGCTGAAGAGGTAGACATCCTAAATCAAGCTAATGTCTTGACTAAAACAGCCCTCTGTTTCTTCCTCGTCTTTTCCTCTACCATAACAGGTATTGCATCAGCCCTTAGTGCTATCTAGTCTTGTACTTCCAACTCATGGGTTATCGACTCCAAAGCTTCTGAACACATAACTAATGACTCCTATCTTTCTCATCATATCATCTTGCCTCTGGACAGGATAACGTGAAAGTGGTTGATGGTACTCTCTCTGTTATCCATGGGAAAGGGGGCATCTAACTTGGAAAGGACTTGATAAGGGGATTTTTATGGGATCCAAGGGAGGAGGAGAAGAAGGATCATAAAGTTAGCTGGGAAGTGGTCTGTAGAAGTAAAAAATCTCGAGGATTAGGTCTTGGTAATATACAGAAAAGGAACATTGCATTGCTAGGAACATGGTTGTTGAGATTACCTCTTGACAAAGATAAGTTGTGGGCAAAGGTGATCATTAGCATTCATGAGCTTGCAATTGAAGGGTGGGACACTAGAACTTCAGCTAAGGAGACAAGAGCTTTTCCTTGGAAGTCCATTTGTGATATTCTTCAGTTCTTCCTTCTTTCTTACCTTTTATCAAATATAGTTCCGGGTCTAGAACTCTTGTTAAGTTTTGGGATCATGTTTGGGTGAGCAATTTATCATTGAAGACACAATTTCCCTCTCTCTATGCCATCTCCAATCATAGGGAGGAACCCATTTCTTCTTTTATGGTTCCTTCTAATTCAAGTGTCATGAGCTTGCTTCAAAACCTTGAAGGGATGTGTTTGGATACTGCAAAAAGGGATAGGAGGATATGGACCTTGTCTCCCTCTGGTTCCTTCACCGTGCTTCCTTTTTCTCATCACTTATTCAGCTGCATGACAATCAAAGGTTGTCTTTTCCAATCAAGGAGGTCTGGAGTAAACCTATTCCCCATAGGGTGGGTGGTTTTTGCTAGGAAGTGCTTCTAGAGAGAATTAATACTTGTAAATTACTGCAAAGAAAAAGACCTAATTAGTGCCTTTCACCTCATTGTTGCTCTCTCTACATGATCAACGGTGAGAATTTCTATCACTTATTAATCTCCTGCCCTTTTTCTTCTTCAATTGGGATTGGTTTCTTTCTTTGTTTGGATCAAATGTACAAAGTTTGTTGGTCTCTACCTTTGTTAGCTCTAGCCAAAGAAGAAGGGAAGAATATTATGGAAGTGTACAAGGGCAGCAGTTTACTAGACAATCTGGAAGGAGAGGAACCAAAGAATTTTTCTTGATAAAGAAAGAAGCAAGGATGCTATTATTGAAGCCATCACCGTCAAAATAGTCCATTGGGTGAAGACATTGGATACTTTTAACAGTATTTTTACAGATGAATTAATGAGAGTTAAAGTATTCAAGAAGGTTTTTGTCGAGAGTCTCAGGTGTGTTACTGTTCACACCCTGAAATGTTTTACTTAACATATTGAAGAAAATTAGAAATGGATCCTTGAGTAGGCGCCCAAATACAAAAGACATGAAAGGAAATAAATGCCCTTACACTCTCAACACTCCCCCTCAAGCTGAGCATAGATATTTGTCATGCCCAGCTTGTTTAAATTGTTGTCAAGCTCTGATTTGGAGACACCTTTAGTAAGACAATCAGCCGATTGATCTTCAGACCTCACAAAAGGTAAACAAATCTCTCCACTGGCAATTCTTTCTCTAATGAAATGTCAATCAACCTCTAAAGGCAAAGGCAAGGTGATTGAGTATCATAGGGGTGGCATGTAAGCCTCGAGGCGTTTTGAGGCCTAAGCTTTAAGCAATATGTATATTAAGATTTTATGTCACTTGTTTGATATATTAGATATGGGTTTGGATCCTATCAGAGTAGGGTTTTTTTTCCTCTAAGAACTAAAAGAACAATAACATATAAATCTAACTATTTAGTTCAGATATATGAACCAATAGTGTTTTAAGAGCAAGGTATTCCTATTTTATTTCTTGCACTTGTATGCATTAGTGAAGTGTGACCATCTATGTGATGCATGTGCCTTAGAAGAAATTGATTATCAACTATGGGGTAGACAATCAAGTGGGTAAGAACAAAGCATGAACAATACAATACAAGTTATTTTTATGTACATCTATATGCATTTATTTGTTATTTTTGTATTATTTATTTGTGCAATATGCCAGTACAAAACAAGGCATCTTTCTTTTTGTCATTGACTTCTGTTTTTATCTCTATATAAACCTTCATATTCAACACTAGTGTGCCATATTCAGCCTTACCCCCAGTACACACAGAGAGTCTGTTTCCAAGATTTGAACCCTGGTCACTCAGGTCGCAATGGAGCAACCTAACCATTGCGCCAAGGCCCACCCTCTTTTCTTTTTTTTTTTTTTTTGATAAGTAACAATCAATGTTATTAATAAACGGAACGGAAGTATAGACACATTTTAGAGAGAGCATGTTTACTCAGGAAGAAGAATAAGGTTACAAAAAGAAAAATATATGTACAAAAGAAAGTAAAGAAAGAGAATTTCAAACTACCTGCTTATAAAGCCGTACAGCTTTGCTCTTCTTTGGTGTAGAGAACAGGACTTTGGGATTCTGATCAGTAACCATGAAAGGATCCTGTCCATATATTCTAAATATTGGCCTGCAACCTCCCTCTCCATCAAAATTAGGAATAACTCGAAGCATGACACAATCCAAAGTAAGTGCCCTATCCAGTGGAGGCCATTCTGAGCCAACATTCCTTCTTGATACATACTGTAGATATCTAAGTTGAGAAGGCACTGGATTCAGTGGTGAYAGTAACTGCAAAAGTTCACGAGGGGCTTGCTTATATATCATGTCCAAGGTCTTCTGCTCTCCTGTATAATGCTTCCTATAAATCAACAGCGCAGCCAACATGAAAGCCAAAACTGGCCACCCACCTCGTTCACAATGCATTAAAAGCACATTCTTCTGCCCAAGTGACAGCCAGCTTTCACTTGACCTCAGAAAATGGTGGATCAGTTCCATTGTGAGTAATGGGCAACCTTCATAGTGCCGAGGATACTCCCCTACAGTCATATCGTACTCAAGTAAGATATCAGCAATCTGGCTTTGGCCCTCTCCTTCTCGAAAGTTGAAAACCATGAACTGAGCATCAGGGAAGTGGTCACGAATTTGACCTACTATGCCTCGCAAGTAGACTTCATAGTCACCTTCTTCCAAGACGTCCGTAGAAAAGCAATAATCAAAAACTATATGCACATAGAAAATTGTAAGGGCCAATATAAATGAATACTTTTGGAAATGAAATTCAAACAAACAAACTAATTAAGGATTTATCAGCTATGCCTTCAAGTAATTTACATGTATATATGTGACATTCATGTTCCTCTAAATCCAAAAAAAATGAATGTTAATGTCACCAAATTTTGACCAAAATAAGAATTCAACTAAAATGGAGGGAAGATGAACCAATCACTACATGTATACTATATATATGACAGGGTTTGACTATGATACCAGAAAAATTTACATCCAAACAACGGTATCATAAAAGAGGTGACCAATGATGTGGTATTCATCACAATTCATGGGAGTGCTTTGATTGGTCAAACCTCTTTCTATACCATGTCTTTCCTGTATCATAATTTTCCCTATATGACAATGATGACCAGGCCCCATCCTAACTATTATAAAATAATAGAATACAACTAGGAGCTGTACTAAGAATGGTCAAAGAGAATGAAACCAAAGTACCAAAACTTTGTTTAGATTTATAGTAGAGGCTCAAACATTTTAAAATGTTATTTCATTAAGGAAGATCATATAACAGGTTTCCATGCTGGTTTGGTTTCCTTTCTTTTGGCTGTGTTTGGAAACGGTGCAAATAGAGTGTAAATGCCGGTTCAGTGTAAATATGCACTCTGGTTCAGTTTTGCTAGTGTTTGGCAAGAATGCATTTATGCATTCACAATGACAGAAAACACAATTTCCAAGGCATGTTTACATTGAAAGTGAGATGTAATTTTACATCCAAATAAAGAAGTAAATTTGCATTCAAAGTGGGCTTTTGTTAAAAAAAAGGTATATTACTTTATTGGGATTCATGTTTGCATCCATTACAACTAAAAGTTGTTTGGTAAGAAGGTAAATTTGTCAATGCAAAACTAACCCAGCTTTGCATTTACATGGACCGAAATGCACTGTCATTTGCATTTACACTATTTGCATCGTTTCCAAATGCAGCCTTTAGGTTTTTTTCAGGTGGGGGAGGGGGATGAGACTTGAACAGATATTTGTATGATAAGGATGTTTAAGGGAGCAGCTACTAACACAGAGAAACAATGAGGAGATAAGTGAATTTCTGGTCAACACAATTAATTTGGAGTTTGAGATCTTGGATTTAGACTTGATTAAAGATGAATTAGTTTTGGATTGTAATCCAGACAAGTACAGAGATTAGACACTGCTAGTGGAGGAGATTTTGGTAATGGATGAAAGATCACATAAGAAGAGAAGAGAACTGATGCAAATCTGCAATGGGATGTAGTGGAGTGGGATCATAGGAAAAGTGACCATAGGACATTTGGGGGAGACCATAGGAAAAGTGATAGAAGTAAGATGGGCTATTCAAATCAGAAAGATATTGATGGAATGAATGTCAGAACCACTAAGGAGAAAGTAAGAAGGTGGAGAGGTAAAGTGGTGATGTTTGGGTGGTAATTGGGACAAGTAGGGGTTGGGAGTTGGGTTGGCTAGCTGTTGGTTATTTTTGTGCTTGGATTCTGATGGCTATCGAAGGTCAGCCTTTTACATGGCTTGTGTAAATTGTGTTTGGTGATTTCTCATATAGCTTCATGCATAGGGTTGGGGTGGCAGTAGTTAGATTTTTTTGCTGCCATCCCACCGCTTCTATTCCTTATGGTTTTATTGTAAAATTGAGTAGCATACCTCCTCTTTTGTTCTTGTTTTCTTTTATGTTGATAAATTTTATTATGTTATATAAAAATGCATTAGTTAAGAATTTATAGGAGGTTTCTTTTGGCAATATAATATAAGGGTTGAACCAGAGTAATGGGTACTAGCGTTTAACGAGGAATGCTCCCTGAGGGAAGCTGGTACAGTTGTTTTCTCCAGAGATTATGCAAAGAAGACAAATGCTGGTATATTTACATAGTGCAACCTTACGGGGTCGCCTTACACTTTCAAAACCTCATCGGAAGCTCTATTAAAGTGAATCATGCCTAAGTCAAACTATCAATTAGAGTTGAAGTTTTTCTCTTGTTCTTTTATTTTTCCCATTCTCTGTCCTTTCGTCTTAGCATTCATAGTCTTAAATATATCGATACAACAAACCATGCATTGAACAAAGCCTCCCACAACCACGTAACAGAGCACAAGATATTTCGAACACATCAAAAAACTCGAATAAATAGGATTTAAAACATAAACATTAACAATTAAAACTCCCAAGTTTCCAAACTACAACCCAAATGCAAAACTTTCGAATGCCCATGAACAATTAACAGCAGTTGACGAAATTCAACAAAATACCTGAAATCAAACACCCAAATGAAAAGCCTCGGCCATAAACCATCAGCCGAAACCACAAAACTCGGGAATTAATATAGAACATACCGTAAATTCTCTCAGAAATCTCCAGAAGTCCGTCGGGCGGTTTCCGGTAGAAGAATTTGCGAAACAGCGCCATTTTGGGGAGATCCGATAAATCCACAAAAGCAAAGCGACCCCTAGAACAGCTCCATTTCCAGCGACATCAATGCCCAGCTGATTGACACCTGAAGCTCCAATAGCAAGATCCAATCTGAAAATTTTGGATGAATCATCACGGACGAGAATGCGAATGTAGGAACCCAATATAAAAATGAATTTTGCTGCAACTTTAAGGTGTTAGTTTTCTCCTGTACAAATACACTTCTCCCTCTCTCTCTCTCTCTCTCTCCGTCTCTCTGCAAATCCTTTCCTTTGTTTTCTTAGTTCTTTTATCCAGACTTTCGTTTTCCGTGGGAATAAACAAATTTCCCCTGTTTTTTTATTAATTTTGTGCAAAAAAAACAGCAGACAGATTGAGATTTTGGAATTTTCTAGGGTTGTCAAACGGATCTAACAACGATCAGGCTCAGCTCAAACTCTGTTTCTGTCTCTGTCTCTGTCTCTGTCTCTGTCTCTATTGGTTCGGAAACGATGGTGAATGATGATGCAGATGACGTCTGATTGTTCATCTCTCTCCCCCCAAAAGCTCAGATTGCTACTTAGCTGGACCCTTGGCACGTGTGCTTCAGGCAAAGACGACAAAAAAAGGCTCCCTATTCAATGAGGTTATTTTGGTCATTATGTAAAGTGTCCCAGTACGGTTCCTTTCATATAGATTCCTCCGGATACAACGTGCTAAGCGTTGCTACTGGGCCGGCCCACACTGAACCCCGAGGGCCAAACTGGGCCCCGTTCCGTACTGGGCTCAGATAAACCTAACTGCCAGTTGAGTAGTCTGGTAATCTGAACGACCCAGGAATCTTCTTCCACCTGGTGGGATGGTCATCTTGGCTCTTAGGCCCACGTGACCTTGTCCAGGAATCCAGACCGGTCCGACCTGACTCGTGTAGCACTTTCAGCCCACAAACCTCCACAGTGAGGGACAAGTTCTAATTAGAAATGGAAGCTTCTGAGCAGATAGATAACTTGAGAGAACGCTAATTCGATGTGGGGTGGTATCTAGGTGTCCTATGCGTGAGTGCTGTCGGACCTGGGTCAGACCGGGCGGTCGACCTGGTGAACCGGTATTGGGTTTTTATGATTTATATGGGTTGAACAATTAATTGGGGCTGCTTAACCGGTGACGAGTGACTGTGACAATTATTTTAAAACCGTGGAATGTTATTTATTAACCTTTCTCGTGTAATGTTCTCGCATTGGGATCAAACCGGATGGTCGGACCATCAGAACCGGAGGCAAAGTAAAAAATGGTTTTTTGGTCGCATGGTTTTCAGAAACGTTGACATGGTCAAATTCACGCTGCTAGATTTTAATTAATAAGGCTCTCTAATATTTATAGCTTTAAGATTATTTTGATGCAAAATAGCTTTAAAAAATATAATATAGAACCATTTTATTTGTCATTATAATTTAGACATTAATTCTTTTTTTCTTTTTTATATTTTTAATCATTTTTATTACCAATAATAATGTTTTTTATTCATTGAACATATTTTTGTTTAATATGGTAAACTAGCGGAGGGGCCCCTATGTTGCTTGCAAAAGCTAAATTATTGTATAGGAAAAAATGAATTTGTAAAGGGTAAATTTTTTAATTAATATTTTTTAGGAAAAAAGATTTACTTAAAATAAGTAGAAATTTATGGATAATAATATATTTAATTTAATAAAATAAAACAATAAATCAAGAAATCAATTTTGTTGTTAAATAAATAATACAAATCCTTTTTTCTCAATTTCCTGGCTGGGGGCTTTATATGGGGGTCGAGTTTAGGCTCAAGATCTAGGCCCAATGGTCCGGTCATGCTTAGGCTTGGGCCTAAATATGTTCCATTGATATAAAGGCAAAGCCTAGCATGGCCTATGAATAGATTTAATCCCAACCTCGAGGCAAGGACACCAAGGAGCCATGGCCCCCCTATGGCCCAACAAATCCCCACTCTTCATGTATATTTTCCCATTCCCCATCCCAATGTTTGCCCCCCAATGGCCATCCATATTATCCACTTAGATTTTGGCACCCCTCATAAAAAATTCCTAGCTCTACGCCTACCCAACCATGACCTAACCTATTGATAGCACTAAATTACCCCCCCCCCAACTCCACTTAGATTTGCCTCCCTCATAAAAAAATCCTAGCTTTGCCCCTGCCTAACACAGACCTAACCTATTGATAGCCCTACATTATTAGGCTCGGAGAGAAAGAGAAATAATTTGTTAGTAAAATAAATTATTAATTAATTGGCTAATTTACTAAAATAAATAAATAGAAATCTATGGATAATAACTTACTTAATTATGTAAAATAAATATATCAATTATTTATTGTAATAAAATAAATAAGTAACTATTAATTTATTATTAGAACATGACTGATCCAAGTTATCTAGAACCAAACCCGACCCATTGACAACCCTAAATATTGGGTGCATGTTGAATTAAATAAATAAAAATTATGGATAATAATGTGTTTAATTTAATAAAATAAAACAAAAAATAATTAATTAAAATTTTCACTTTTGGAGTCAATTTAATATAAATAAATCAATTTTGTTGTTAAATAAAGAATACAAATCTCTTTTCTCAACTTCTTGGTCGAGCTTCAGGCTTTCTATGGGGGTCGAGCTTGGGATCAAAATCTAGGCCCGATGGTCTGGTCATGCTCAAACTTGGACTTGAATATATTTGATTGATATTAGACCTGTTCATGGGCCAGGTCGGGTCGGGCTTTGCCTCTACATTAACAAAATATGTTCAAGCCCGGCCCGACCATTGGGCCTAGGTCTTGAGCCCGAGCCCAGCCCTCATATAAAGCCCAAAGCCTGGGCCCGAACCCAAGCCCGGTTAGAAATTTGGAAAAAAAAAAGACTTGTGCCTTTTTAATTCAATTAAAAGCTATTTTATTTATACTAAAAGACCTCAAACCCTAAAAAATATTGAAAAGTGTCATTATTACTTGAAAAAAAAGAGAAGAAAAATAAAGAAATATATATTATATATATGTTTTTTTATTATATAAAATATATGCTTATTAATATAATACATAATCAAGTCAGGCTCGGACTTGAGCTAGGTTTTTTTGAGAAAGCCCAATCCTCGCTCAAAAAAAGTCAGGCCTGGTATTTTAGGCCCAAGCCCGAACCTGCGGGCCTGAAATCTTGTCCAAGCCCAACTTAGATCGGACCGGCCCATCAGGCTACCCGGCCCATGAACAAGTCTTATTGATATAAAGGCAAATGTCACATCCCGACGTGACCTGTGAATAGGTTTAATCCCAAACCCAGGGACGGAGCCAAGGGGACCCATGGAAACCATAGCCCCCTATTCCACTTACATTTTGGCCTCCCTCAAAGGGCCAAGTTTGGGTTGGAACCGGAACCGACCTGATCGGTTCTCGAGACAATCGGGTATGACCCGACAGACCCGATAATAAATAAAATTTAAATATTTATGTATAATATATATTAAACATTCTATATATATATATTATATGTATAGTATATATATATAATTTATTTATTTAGTATATTATACATTATATATATAACTGATAGTAATTGGGAACCTATATCAGGACCCGGAATTGACCTGTTGGTTCCAGTTCCTAAAACTAGAACCGACCCAATCGGTTCGGGTCCAATGGATCAGTTGGATTGGACCAGACCCATTGGCAACCCTACCTAAATATTGAGCTCAAGGGGAGAGAATAATTTGTTAGTAAATTATTTCTAAATAAACAAATAATTTAGTAAAATAAATAAATAAATGTCTATTAAAATTTTCCTCTCAATGTAAAAGCTCCTTTATTTTACTGATTTATAAATAATTTATTTATTTTAATTAACTAAATAAACGCTTAGATAATAATAAAATAAATAATATCTATTAAAATCTTTCTCTCAATGTCAAATCTATTTTATTTTATTGATTTATAAATTTAAATTTATTAAATAAATAAACACTTAGGAAATAATAAAAAATAATTTAGTAAAATAAATAAATAAATGTCTAGTAAAATATTTCTCTCAATGTTAAATCTCCTTTATTTTACTAATTTATAAATGATTTATTTACTTTTATTAAATAAATAAATGCGTAGATAATAATAATAAATTAAATAAATAATTTAATAAAATAAATAAATAAATGTTTATTAAAATATTTCTCTCAATGTCAAATCTCTTTTATTTTATTGATTTATAAATATTTTATTTTATTTTATTAAATAAATAAATGCTTAGATAATAATAAAATAAATAAATGAATGAATAAATAAAAGTTGAGATAAAGAATATGAGGAAAGAGAGAATTAAGTGAGAGAGAAGAGGGATAACATTTTATTTTGTAGGATGGCATAATCATGAATAATTATATATGGCATTGCTGCAATTTTCGAATATCATAGAGGCATTGATGTAAAGAGAATAAATTTGTCTTATAAGTGGCATTCCTGTAATTTTTAAATGCCTTAGAGTCAATTAAATTTGAAAGTTTGTCTTATATGTGGTAGTCTTGTAATTTTTGTACACCATAGAGACAATTACAAGTTGTAAGGTTTGTCTTATACGTGGTAGTCGTGTAATTTTTTAATAACATAGGGAAAATTACAATTCAATCACGGAAAGGGATCTGCTCCTCACACATGGGCACCTTACAGGCACATCCACCGTGTATTGGGAACATCTCCCGTGAATAATAACTTATAAGTACAAGAGATGTTCCCAATGCATGGTAGGATGTGCATGTGAGGCGCCTGGTGTGAGGAGCAGATCCGGTCTCGTCAATCACACAATGGAGTTTGTCTTATGTAGCATTCTTATAATTTCTAAGGGAAAAAAGGCAAAAATTACTATTAGATTTTATTTTTTGCATCATCGGTCTTTCCTTTGTACACATTTCAGCCTAATATATTTATATAGATATATAATGACATGTTCAATTTTTTCCTATAATTTGTTATAATGTTATCTATTTTTCATGTTTTAATGTTATGGATCAACTCATTTAATCCAAACAGCCAAATAGTTTTAGCACTGACCCATCACAAAAATAAATAACATTATTTTGGGATAATTTTTTTAACATAGACTCCAACTGCCTATTATGTATAATATGCCAATATTTTACTTTGGCTTCCTGTCCAACCTACTATATAAAAAATCCAATCCACTTATTTTTCCCTCTTTCTCTCTCCTTTATTGCTGTCAAATCTGGAGCCCAAGGTAGCTTACTAACTTCCAAAGTCAAAGGGCCAAGAGTTTCACCTGTTTAAGAGTTGTACTGTGAGTATTCACAAAGGTGAGGATTCTAACAATCAAATTAGCCTAGGGCTAATGGAAAGCCGAAGTCATAATAAAAGAATAAAAATTGACTCAAGTGTGCATAGTGGACTGTTCCGTAAATCTTGGTCATGAATGCGGCAGTTCAAAGGGTGAGATCCCAAAATCTGAGCGTTGCTCCATCATAAATGTGTTGGCGTAATGCCT